CTTCCCAGAACTTATTTATTTATTTTGTTTATTTTATTTATTTTGTTTTTTGTTTTTTTGAGGCAAGGTTTTTCTATAGCCTTGTAGCCTGTCCTGGAACTAGCTCTTGTAGACCAGGCTGGCCTCCAACTCACAGAGATCCGCCTGCCTCTGCCTCCTGAGTGCTGGGATTAAAGGGCTTGTTAATTTTTAACATCAAAACATTTAAAATGGGGGCTGGAGAGATGGCTCAGCAGTTAAGAGCACTGGCTGCTCTCCCAGAGGCCGTGGGTTCAATTCCCAGCACCTGCATGACACCTCATAACCATCTGTAACTCCAGTTCCAGGGAATCTGACACCTTCATACCAAATGTACATAAAATAAAGATAAAAAAAGTCATTTAAAATCTTTGGGCATTTCCCTAGACATATTGAGCAAAACTTTAAGATGTGAATTATGGAATTCTGCAGCTAAAAATGAAAGTTGCCCAGGGGATTCCAATATTACCAAGTGGATGAAACATTATTAAATAGCATTCTTATAAATAAAAAGTAAGCTTTCTAAAATTTTTTAAAGATAACTTAAGGTAAGTGGAGATGCTAAACATGTAATACTAACCCAAGTATTGATTTTTCTAAGGAAAAATGAAAATCGCTCCTTTATTTCTTGCCAAAAAGACTAAACGAACAGCCATTCCTGTCCTTGATTTGGATGATAGCAGGTCAGTCCAATATAGATATATAAACATTTAATATCTTATGGAATACAATGTGTATTTATTTGTTTGATTAGATGTCAATGACCATTTGAAATATTTTTATTTTGCATGTGCATATATATGTAGTCTGTTTATATAGCATATTCGTGGGTATCTGTGCTCATATGTGTGTTTATGTACTTGTGTATAATTGTTCATGTTTGTGTAAATGGAGATCAGATACAGGAAGCAGGAATCTTCTGTCACCTATCACCCACCTTCTATGTGGGTGCTGAGCATCGAGCTTCAGTCTACACACTTTCATGGCTAGTGCTTGACCCACCTGAGTCCTCTTCCCAGCCTTCTGATGAAATTTTAAAACATGTTGATAGTGCTTGCACTACTGGTGAAGGTCTTAGGTTTTTGTAAAAGCTTTGGGAATATTTCACATAAAGTAGCAGAATAATTAAAAAGAAAAGAACAGCCCAGACTATCAAACTTTGTTTATGACCTTTATTTAATATAATGTCTACAATTTACTAGGCACTATTTTTGGCACTAGGAATGTTAAGGAAAACACAGTGCCTGTCCTTATATAGTCTCCAGGGGAAATAAAGTCTATAATTAAACATTAACTGGCTTAACAAATGAAAAACTGACATTGTGCTAAGGAAGGTCACAAAATTTTATTAGTTTATATTAAAGAGATGTTTGGTCATTTCCCTGACAAAATGATACCTGACCTCTGAAGGAAAAGCAGCAGCTCACCAAGGGGAGGCTAGTGTTCTAGCCAAAGGGAACTATTTGTGCAGAGTCCCGGAGGCTGTAAGGAATGTGCTCAGCACCAGTTATGGGAAGGAAGGATGCTAGAGTGACTTGAGTTCCAGAGCAGGAGAGGATGGGAGATTAACTGGAGAGATAGGTGCCAGACTAAAGAACTCGCTAAGAGTGATACAAATACATGAGGGGTTTAGGCATGAATATATGGGTAAACAGATTTGGGTTGTGGAGGTTCAGTGTGCCTTCTAGATGAGTCTTATTACTGCATAAAGAGCTGGATACAGGTTGGTAGAGTACCTTGTCTAACATGCACGGAGCTTTTCTTTCCTTCTGTATATCTCACTTTCACTGCTTCCCGTGTCTGACTTCTTGCCCGGGGTGTGTCCTTCTCTTTCTCTGTGTTTTCTTCTTTCTTGTTTTCTTCCCTCTCCGGCCTAGATTTCTCCTCCTATTCATTCTCTCTGCCTGACAGCCCTGCGTATCCTTTCTCTTCCCTAGCTATTGGCTGTTCAACTTCTATTAGACCAGTCAGGTGCCTTAGTTAGACAGGCCAGTGAAACAAATGCAACACATCTTTACATAATTAAGCAAATGCAGCAAAAACAAAAGTAACACACTTTTACACAGTGAAAGTATATTCCGCAGCATAAACAAATGTAACATGTCTTTGCCCAGTTAAAATAATATTCCACAGACGGCTAAATTTTTCTGATTACAAGATAAATTCTTATTTAACAACAACAACCACCCTCGTGCTGGGACTGTAGTTCACAGGTAGAGTGCCTGCATCATAGTACAGCCCTGAGTTTTCTTTCTATCCCTACACCAAACAGGGACAAGGAAGAAAATTCCCACCTGATGAGAGTCCCAGTTAGCATTTTGGTGGGTGTCTTTTAAGACAGTTTTTTTTAATGTGTGTGTGTGTATATATATAATGTGTGTGTGTATATATATATATAATGTGTGTGTCTTATTTAATTTTCTAGCATGAGTAGATAAGCAAAAAGAATTTTACCAGCTAATTTATTGGGTGTGTTTAATTTTGAAGTTTTTTTTTAGATTTAATTTTGTATGTGTGTATTTTGTGTGTATGCATGCCTGACTGTGCTGGTACATTCATATGTTGGCATGGGTGTGAAGGTCAGAGGAACTTGTGAGTTGATTCTTTCTTCTATGTGGGTTCCAAGGATGGAACTCAGGTAGTCAGGCTGGTGTGGCAAATACTTTTACAGTGAGCCATCTCACTAGCTTGAAGATAAAATTTTAAAATGTTTATTTTCTAGATAATTTTCTAGAGAATAATTGTTCTTTAATTTTTTGCTTTTATTTATTTACTCATTTGTGTGTGTGGTATGTGTGTGTAGGGCAGAGATTTGGTTTTTCACTACTACCATGTTGGTCCTGGGGATTGAATTCAGTTCATCACTCTTGGTAGCAAATATCTTTACCTGCTGAGCCTTGCTCTGGCCCTAAATAGTTTATTCTTCATTTTATTTTGCTTTATTTATTTATTTTGAGACAGGGTCTCATTGTGTAGCTCTGACTATCCTGGAACCTACTATGTAGACTTGATCCACCTGCCTTGGCCTCCTGACAGCTGGGATTCAAGGCATGCATCACTACACCTGGCTATTTAAATTTTTTTATTACATCTGTTTATTTACTAACATTTGTATAAACACACGTACCATAGCATGCATGTGGAGATCCGAAAACAATTTGTGGGACTTGATTTTTTCCACGTTGTGGGTCCTTGAAAGTTGAACTCAGGTTGTCAATATATTCCTTTAGATGCTTCTAACTTTTGCTTTTATTCTTTCAAATTTTCTTCAAAGTCAAGATTCATCAGAACAAACTCAGGATTGTGATATACAATTTAAAGCAAAGCGTGACTTTCTAATGAGTGGTTTGCCAGATTTACTGAAACGACAGATTGCAAAGAAAGCTGCTGTACTAGATGCATACAATGCCGCGAGTACCAGTTTCCAGAGGGTTGTTCATGTGCAACAGAAGGATGATAGTAAGTGTGTTTATTGTGTTTTTATGTTTTTGTCCTTTTGTTTAGACAGGGTCTCTCTCTCTCTGTAGCTTGACTGGCTTGGGACTAACTACAAAGACCAAGCTGACCTCAAATTATTTTTGAGCCAGGGTCTTATTCTATAGCCCAGTCTGGCCTTGAATTTATGTATCCTGGGCCTGAAATTTAGCAGTACTTCTGCTTTAGCCTCCTGAGTGTTGGGATTGTAGACATGAGCCCATACCTGCTAAGTATTTATTCTTACCCTGTGAGAAGAAATCTGATGCTATGTAAGGAATTGTTAAAAGGGGGGGGGAGGGGTTGCTGACTGGGTTGTGGTGGTGCACACATTAAACCCAGCACTTGGGAGCCAGAGGCAGGATCTCTGTGAGTTAGAGGCCAGCCTGGTTTACAAAGTGAGTTCTAGGACTGCCAGAGCTATAAAGAAACCTGTCTCGAAAAACAAAACAAAAAAAGGGACCTGTGGATGTCCCTGGTTGATAGGATACCTGCCTGCATATGGGATCCAGGGGTTTGATCCTCAGCACCACAAAAGGTAAAAGTGAGGCTAAATCTTAAGGAGAGTGGCACACACCTGTTATCCTAACACTTGGAGGCTTACAACAGGAGTATTAAGAGTTTGGGGCCATTCTGGGCTATAGTGAGACTCTGTTTTTTTTTTTAAAAAAGAAAGAGTTGAAGGAATGACTCAGTGGTTAGCAACACCGTATTGCTCTTGCAGAGGATCTGGTTCTGAGTCCCAGCACCTACATGGAGGCTCATATCCACCTATAACTCCAGCTCCAGGGGATAGGGCTTATTGCATTCAGGAAGGGAAAACCCTGCTCTGTCCTCAGTGAGCACCTGTACACGTGTACTACACATACATGTAAACAGACACACTCATGCAAATAAATAATCCCAGCATTTAGGAGGAAGAAACAGGAGAAACTCTGAGTTCAAGGCTAGCCTCATCTACATAGCATGTTCCAGGCCAACTAGAGCTACATTATGAGATCCTGTCTTAAAAAAAAATAAATTTTTTGTTTGTATTTTATTTCTTGAGACAGGGTTTATTTATGTAGCCTTGACTTTCTCAGAGCTCACTCTTAGACCAGGCGGCCCCAACGTCATAGAGATCTGCCTCCCTAGTCCTGGGATTATTAAAGGCGCCACCACCACCCAGCAATAAATAAAAATTTTTAAAAAGGGGGCTGGAGAGATGGCTCAGTGGTTAAGAGCATTGCCTGCTCTTCCAAAGGTCCTGAGTTCAATTCCCAGCAACCACATGGTGGCTCACAACCATCTGTAATGAGGTCTGGTGCCCTCTTCTGGCCTGCAGACATACACACAGACAGAATATTGTATGCATAACAAATAAATAAAATAAATAAATAAATATTTAAAAAATTTTTAAAAAGAAGAAAATGGGGTAGGCTTTCTCGTTTTATGGTATTTTGATGGTGATTTTAGTGATTACATCTTTTTTTCCCTAATCCCTGGAATCATTTGCTGATTATGCTCCCACACAGAGCAAAGAAGGCAAAGGGAGTTTTATTTTATCCCTTATGCCATCCTTGCATTCCTGCTGTAAGGGACCTTGAATGAATACTGTTTTAATGTTTAAACTTGGGCTTCCTGTGAGGTTGGGTCTGACAGTCTGTAGTTTATGGCCTGTTGGGTACATAGCAGGTTAGTATCAGCCTGGACTCCATAGTGAGACTCTGTCTAAAAATAAGCAGGATTAACAACAAACAAACGAAATTAAAACCTTAGACTCTAAATCAGAATGCTAAATAGTACCTTGGTGTTTTAACCTACATATTATTATTGATTTAAAAAGAAATGAGCTTGCTGGTATTTGCTCACTTTTGGCAAGTGAAAGAGAAGAAGAAGTAATTTTTATTAATTGTTTTCTGGTGTCAGTTTTGCTATGAAGCTTAGGTAAGTCTTGTGCTCTCAGCCCTGTGTCAGCCTCTCAAGTGTTAGAATTGTAGGAGTGTACCATGGCACGGCTGAGCTGTGCACTTCGTTCACTCTGTATTCACTTGGGTATTTGATATTTTTGTTAGAACTATGTAGCTACTTTGGTTTGTTTGCTTGCTGGCGTTTTGCTTTTGTTGACTGGTATTTGCTGGAAATTGTATTCATAGTCTCATGAGATTTGTCAGGCCTTTTCATGTTTGCATGCTTGATAGTCCATAAATGAATAGTGGATAAATTAGGATATTTCTGTGTTTTTTTTAGGGTATTGGTTATGGCATTTGAAGCCACCTTCTTGTCCTCTATTAACTGAATTTAAAGAACTGAATACTAAAGTAACAGATCTCTCAAAATGTGTTGTTGCTCTTGGTGAATTTTCAACATTGAATTCAAATCCAAGAAATAATTCAGCTGTTGTGGTAAGTTCACAATAACTATCCATGATTACATGGGTTATTTTGTCCTGGCTTTCAGAAGAAAATACTCAGCTGTTTAGCCTAGGGGTTCTTCTTTTCTTAGGCTCTAGTTTTAAAAATAAATCTAGTTGAAATACATATTCTCAGCCAGGCACTGGTGGCTCACACCTTTAATCTCAGCACTCAAGGCAGAGGCAGAAGGATTTCTGAGTTTGAGGCCAGTTTAGTCTAACAGAGCTAGTTCCA